CTTGTCCCCTCCCTCGCGCCTCACTGCCTTGCTTGTCCCCTACCTCGCGCCTCACTGCCTTGCTTGTCCCCTCCCTCGCGCCTCACTGCCTTGCTTGTCCCCTCCCTCGCGCCTCACTGCCTTGCTTGTCCCCTCCCTCGCACCTCACTGCCTTGCTTGTCCCCTCCCTCGCGCCTCACTGCCTTGCTTGTCCCCTCCCTCGCGCCTCACTGCCTTGCTTGTCCCCTCCCTCGCGCCTCACTGCCTTGCTTGTCCCCTCCCTCGCGCCTCACTGCCTTGCTTGTCCCCTCCCTCGCGCCTCACTGCCTTGCTTGTCCCCTCCCTCGCGCCTCACTGCCTTGCTTGTCCCCTCCCTCGCGCCTCACTGCCTTGCTTGTCCCCTCCCTCGCGCCTCACTGCCTTGCTTGTCCCCTCCCTCGCGCCTCACTGCCTTGCTTGTCCCCTCCCTCGCGCCTCACCTTCCTTGCAGCCAGCTCGATGGCCCGCGGTGCAAAGAGCTCGCATGCGTGCAGGCGGGCGGCGACGATCGTCTCGACCTGGTGGCGCGTGTATGGCGCAAAGGGCACGCGGTGCAGCCCCATGCGGCTGGCGATGCGCGGCAGCAGGCGCTCGGGCAGGTCCACCGTGTTGGCGATGCCTGGGGGGAAGGGGAAGGGGTGGGGTTGAACACGTGTGAGGGATGGGGCATGTCGAGAGGAGAGGGCACATGGAGAGAGTGAGTGGCAGTAGGCGCTCACGCGGGTCCACTGGGTTGGCGACTATTCCTGGGAGGAAAGGGAGGAAGATGTAGTGTGCAAAGGGCACAAGGAGGAGAGGGAGGGGGAGCAGGCGCTGTGGTAGATCCACCGTGTTGGTGATCCTGAGAGGCGAGGGAGAGCGGAGAGAGAAGGGGGAGAGGGAGGGGTGGAGGTGCAGAGTGCAAGCGGTGCAGCCCCTTCCTGCTGGCTATGACTGGAACAGTCGTTTAGGAAGTCCCACTGTGTTGGGTATGCCTGGGTGGTGAGAGTGGGCTCAAGAAACGGGGAGGAAGATGTGTGGGGGAGGGTGGAAGGGGCACAAGGAAGAAAGGAAGGGGAAGCGTTGGGGTGATCCACTGCGTTGGGGTGATCCACTGCGTTGGGGTGATCCACTGCGTTGGGGTGATCCACTGCGTTGGGGTGATCCACTGCGTTGGGGTGATCCACTGCGCTGGGGATCCCTGGGGGAAGAGAGGTGAGCTGGGGAGCAAGAGGGAATGGGCGAGACGCAGGATGCAAAGGGTCCACGGCGAAACTTCATGTTGGAGTACAGGAGCCCAGGCAAGTTCATTGTGCTGCAGGCCATGCGTGAGAAGCTACACAGAGACAAGTGGGGCGGGCGCAGGTGGTCGACTAACTGCAGCAACATGCGCAATTTATGGCTAGCCTTTAACAGGAGAATATGAAGCACGCTTGCCAATCACAGCGAGATTGAGCAAAAGTGGAAACACTTACCAATAACGGCAAGGCGTGCAGAGCTCCAGGTGGTCCACTCAAAGATGTTGTAGAGCACCTGGGCAGGGGTGCGCAGGGGTGCACAGGATTACACAGGAGTGCACACGAATGCATAGAGGTGCAAAGGGATGGAAAAAATGGAACGAAGACAAAAGAGAATAAATGCACAAGGCCAGGTCCAGTCAGTCCCCAGTGGGGACTCTCCACCCAGCAGCTCCTGGCACCTCAAAAGGCACGCTGCACAACAACCTAACAAAACCCTTCTCAACCGCTCCACAAATACTTTTAACTCAAAGTTTCCTCCAAATCAGCTGATTCCCCCACCAGCAGCACACACACTCCCCTACTCCTCTCCCCTTCTCCTCCTCAAAGAAACGCCTCCCTCAACACTTGAGTCCCATCGTCGACCCCTCCACTCCAAAATCTCTTCCCATTGTCTGGTCCTTGTTGATGCTGATTCATCTCACCCACCACCACCACGCATATGACATCTCCACACACACCTCACACGGTGAAACGCCTCACGCGGTGAAACGCCTCACGCGGTGAAACGCCTCACGCGGTGAAACGCCTCACGCGGTGAAACGCCTCACGCGGTGAAACGCCTCACGCGGTGAAACGCCTCACGCGGTGAAACGCCTCACGCGGTGAAACGCCTCACGCGGTGAAACGCCTCACGCGGTGAAACGCCTCACGCGGTGAAACGCCTCACGCGGTGAAACGCCTCACGCGGTGAAACGCCTCACGCGGTGAAACGCCTCACGCGGTGAAACGCCTCACGCGGTGAAACGCCTCACGCGGTGAAACGCCTCACGCGGTGAAACGCCTCACGCGGTGAAACGCCTCACGCGGTGAAACGCCTCACGCGGTGAAACGCCTCACGCGGTGAAACGCCTCACGCGGTGAAACGCCTCACGCGGTGAAACGCCTCACGCGGTGAAACGCCTCACGCGGTGAAACGCCTCACGCGGTGAAACGCCTCACGCGGTGAAACGCCTCACGCGGTGAAACGCCTCACGCGGTGAAACGCCTCACGCGGTGAAACGCCTCACGCGGTGAAACGCCTCACGCGGTGAAACGCCTCACGCGGTGAAACGCCTCACGCGGTGAAACGCCTCACGCGGTGAAACGCCTCACGCGGTGAAACGCCTCACGCGGTGAAACGCCTCACGCGGTGAAACGCCTCACGCGGTGAAACGCCTCACGCGGTGAAACGCCTCACGCGGTGAAACGCCTCACGCGGTGAAACGCCTCACGCGGTGAAACGCCTCACGCGGTGAAACGCCTCACGCGGTGAAACGCCTCACGCGGTGAAACGCCTCACGCGGTGAAACGCCTCACGCGGTGAAACGCCTCACGCGGTGAAACGCCTCACGCGGTGAAACGCCTCACGCGGTGAAACGCCTCACGCGGTGAAACGCCTCACGCGGTGAAACGCCTCACGCGGTGAAACGCCTCACGCGGTGAAACGCCTCACGCGGTGAAACGCCTCACGCGGTGAAACGCCTCACGCGGTGAAACGCCTCACGCGGTGAAACGCCTCACGCGGTGAAACGCCTCACGCGGTGAAACGCCTCACGCGGTGAAACGCCTCACGCGGTGAAACGCCTCACGCGGTGAAACGCCTCACGCGGTGAAACGCCTCACGCGGTGAAACGCCTCACGCGGTGAAACGCCTCACGCGGTGAAACGCCTCACGCGGTGAAACGCCTCACGCGGTGAAACGCCTCACGCGGTGAAACGCCTCACGCGGTGAAACGCCTCACGCGGTGAAACGCCTCACGCGGTGAAACGCCTCACGCGGTGAAACGCCTCACGCGGTGAAACGCCTCACGCGGTGAAACGCCTCACGCGGTGAAACGCCTCACGCGGTGAAACGCCTCACGCGGTGAAACGCCTCACGCGGTGAAACGCCTCACGCGGTGAAACGCCTCACGCGGTGAAACGCCTCACGCGGTGAAACGCCTCACGCGGTGAAACGCCTCACGCGGTGAAACGCCTCACGCGGTGAAACGCCTCACGCGGTGAAACGCCTCACGCGGTGAAACGCCTCACGCGGTGAAACGCCTCACGCGGTGAAACGCCTCACGCGGTGAAACGCCTCACGCGGTGAAACGCCTCACGCGGTGAAACGCCTCACGCGGTGAAACGCCTCACGCGGTGAAACGCCTCACGCGGTGAAACGCCTCACGCGGTGAAACGCCTCACGCGGTGAAACGCCTCACGCGGTGAAACGCCTCACGCGGTGAAACGCCTCACGCGGTGAAACGCCTCACGCGGTGAAACGCCTCACGCGGTGAAACGCCTCACGCGGTGAAACGCCTCACGCGGTGAAACGCCTCACGAAACGCCTCACGCGGTGAAACGCGCGCACGTGAAACGCGTTCCACCTTGTGCTCCTTGCTCATCCGCCACCACCACAACACACCCACGCACGCCTCACTCATAACATGATGTCCTCACAAGCACAACCCTTTTCAACAACTCCCAGCCCCCCCAAACCCTCGTCCACCCTTCTCAATCCTTCCCAACCACTCCAAAAACCTCCCTACCTTCTGGTCCTTGCTGATCAGCTGATCCATCTCATCCACCAGCAACACACACACTCCTCCCCCTCCCCCTCCTCCTTCTCCTCCTCCTCCCCCTCCCCCTCCCCCTCCCCCCTCTCCTCTGCCTCCTCTACCCCTGCCCCTCCCTCTGTTTACCCCGCCAGGAGGAGAGGAGGGGCGAGGGGAGGCGAAGCGGACGTTGAGGGAGTGAAGAGCTTTCTTCCACGCGACCCTCTGGCCGGTCAGTGCCTCCCAGAGAACCTACAGTGATGGCGGGCGATGGGCAGGACGGCCGTGAGGACGTTGGTGGTGGATGGAGGAGGCAGAGGAGGTGGGGGTTGGTAGGGAGGGGATTGTAAGAAACCATACAGAGAAGAAGGCAGTGGGTAAGGAGACACGTGCAGGGAAGGGGGGGGGAGAGAAGGGGGTGGCGGGGAAGGGGACTTAGGGCGCGTGTGATATGATTCCAGGTTCGAACAACAGTTCGACCTCTTTATGCTTACCGGCTTCGTGAATTTTGCTAGCCAACAACTCTGCACTTGTGTGTTTCTGAATTCTGAACGGGACTCGAATTTGAGCATGAACGTGCGCACAGCACGCACCGTCATGTGCACTTTTGGGCACGATCATCGATTTGGCGAGATCAGTGAGTCATACAGCCCTTACAGCGGGTAACCTACCAGGCCTAGTCGCGGCCCGTCAAGCGTCGAATCTCGATAGTCGACCCTCTATGTAGTATTGTGAACGAGTTAGTCAAGTGAACATTTGAACCTAAAAGAATGGTGAAAACTGACTAAAAAGGCAAACTTTGGGATGTGCGCCAAATCACAGGCGGCCTTACAGAGAAGAAGATGGTGGGGGCAGGCAGGTGCAGCGCGTTGATGTGGACGAACTGGAAGGGCAGCAGCAGCCCCTCCCTGCTGCTCCTCCTCGCCTGCCGCATCACCTCCACCACCACTGCCGTCTTGCCCGTGCCTGGTACCCCACTGATGTACAAACACCGGGAGTTCACCTGCTGCTTCCCTCGCCCCTCTTCTTGCTGCCCCCCTTCCTCGCAGCCCTTCTGCTGCCCATCCTGCGGCTTCTCTCTCTCTGCCTCTTGCTCATCCCTCACCTCCTCCTGTTTCTTCCGCCTTCCACCCGCTCTCCCTCTCCCTCTCCCTCTCCCTCTCCCTCTCCCTCTCCCGCCTCCCTTCCCTCCCACACCCATGCCCTCCTCGCTCCCCTTCTCTTGCTCTGTGCCCGCTACTCCGCCTCCTGCCCTTTTCCCGCCATCTCCCCTGAAAGCACCTCCCCCAAGATTACCTTCCCTGGATCCATGGCCCCCAACCACTCTCGCCACAAACCCCTCCACCTCCTGCTGCTCCTTCTCACGGCACGGCAGGCATGGCGGCACACGGGACAGCTGCAGCGCCCTCTTCGCCCTCCGCACCGCCGCCAACCCGCCTACCTTCCTCCCCTTCTGCTCACCATCCTTCCTCACATGCCTCTCTGACTCCTCCCTCTCCCCGTCCTCCTCCTCCTCCTCCTCCTCCTCATCCTCCTCCTCCTCCGCCGCTTTCCCCATCCCCCGCGTCCCACGTATCATCTCTCTCATCCTCTCTCTCTCCCACCAGCTTTGCAGAATTCCCTGCGGCGCGCCTCTGATCGCTATGAAACACGGAAAAGAGCCCATGGTCCCCGTCCCCTTGCAAAGAGTTAAAGCCATTTTCCTGGGCCAGCCGTCGCCGCTTCCTCTGCTTCGCAGCCTGCGAGTGTTGTGAGTCGCCATTCCACCCACCCGGGTCCACGCAAACAGGTCCACGCAACCAGGGTTCAACGTTAGTTGGCTCAAGATGAGTGCAAAAGAAAACAGCAAACTTCATGTCCCTCAGGCAAGCGCAGCACTAGGAGTTTTGAGGCGGCTCTAGAATCTTGGAGGCTGAGTGCCTAGCTTGGAGGCTGAGTGCCTAGCTTGGAGGCTGAGTGCCTAGCTTGGAGGCTGAGTGCCTAGCTTGGAGGCTGAGTGCCTAGCTTGGAGGCTGAGTGCCTAGCTTGGAGGCTGAGTGCCTAGCTTGGAGGCTGAGTGCCTAGCTTGGAGGCTGAGTGCCTAGCTTGGAGGCTGAGTGCCTAGCTTGGAGGCTGAGTGCCTAGCTTGGAGGCTGAGTGCCTAGCTTGGAGGCTGAGTGCCTAGCTTGGAGGCTGAGTGCCTAGCTTGGAGGCTGAGTGCCTAGCTTGGAGGCTGAGTGCCTAGCTTGGAGGCACATGAGTGAGTCGACTTCAGCTGAATGTCGTTGTTTTTATCTCTCAGAACCGCAGTGGACCAGTTGGAGGAATTTGATTCGCAGTGTGCAGGATGATAAGCTCACTTCTAAGACCCCTCAATATTGTCACGTCGCAAAGCTCCTCAAAGTGACTCCAGCATCTTGACACATGGAGACACAATCTGACACCCTTTTCTCCCACGACACGCACCTTATGTCTGCTGCCCTTCCTCATTCTCTTTCTCATCTTCCTCCCTCCCTCCACTCCCCAATCCTCTTCCTCCTCGTCCTCCTCTTCCTCCTCCCCCTCTTCCTCCTCCTCGTCATCCAGGCTAAGATCACTATCACCATCATCACTATCACCATCATCACTGGAATCAGTCAACCCTTCACTACTGTCACTCTCACCAGAATCACTACCATCGCTCCCGCCACTCCCTTCCCCATCCTCCCCACTCCCATGCAAACCCTTTCGATTCCCCTCATCCCTCTCCCCTCTCCTCCTCTTCCCTCCCCCATTGCCCCCACGCCCCTGCGCGCCCGTTCCGCCCCCACCTCCCCCTGCCATCCCCCTCATCTCGCCCTCCCCCCTCATCCCCCCCGCTGCCCCCGCGGGTCCCCCTCCACCCAGTACGCGCATCCGCGCGGGCAGGCGTTTGAAGGTGAGGGAGCGCGAGTCGTAGGCCATGCGGCAGAGGAACACGTCGTCCCCCTCGTGGGCCGCTGCTGCGAAGAGCGGCTCTGGGAGCACCTGGCAGGCGCGCAGTATTGTCACCATCTGAACTCGCCACGGGGGAGAGCAGAGGGACGGGGGGAGAAGAAAGTGACAGTGGGTAGGCATAGGCCAGGGGTCACTTTGAGATTCACAAGTGACTAAGTGTAGGCCATGGGTCACGGGAAGAAGGGAGGGCAGGATTGGAAGGCAAGCAAACAGTGGTAGGCCATGCGGCAGAGGAGCATGCCATCCATCCCACTCACCTCGTTCCACCCATCTCAATCCCCTCCATCTCCTTCGTGAAACAGATCCCTTTCTCTATGCCGCGCTCCTCTACACAAAACCACTGTACCGCTTTGCATCCCTCCTCACTGCGTTCCGCCCCTCTCACCTCTCCCCACCGCGCTCACCTCTATCTCCTGCGTGACATCCCCATAGAACACCTCCCTCTTCCTGTGCCGCGCCTGCCTGCCCTCCACCGTCTCCTCCGGCAACACATACCACCTCACCCTGCACCACCACCCACTCTCACCCCCCTCCGCCTCCGCTGCCCCTTCCCCTTTCCCTTCCCCTTCCCCTTCCCCTTCCCCTTCCTCACCCCCTTTCTCCCCCCCTTCTCCCTCCTCCTCCTCATCCCTCCGGCTACCGCGCTCTTTTGATTCGTCCACGCGCCAGATCCTTTCGATTCGACCAATCGCAAGCTCCCCATTGAACACTCGCTCCCGCGCCGTTCGCCGCCTCTTCTGCTTCTTTCCCCCCTCCCCCACCGTCCCCACCTTCCCCGCCATCCTCCCCTTCCCCGCCGTCCCCGCTTTCCCCACCTTCCCGTGTTTGCTTCCCCTTGTTCCGCCCCCCCCTTCTCCGCCAGCTCCAGCACAAGCCAGGCAGAACCAATCGCCTTCCGGAATCTCCGCAAGAGGCGGCTCGAGGCAACCGAGGTGGAAACCACCAAGGCAGCCGTCGCACTCCACCATCACATCCCCGTCCCCCTCCCTCTTCCCCTCCCCCTCCCCTTCCCCCTCCCCGTCCCCCTCTTCTCCCCCACCAACACCTTTCCCACAAATCTGGCATTCCTCGTCGCTCGCGTCGGATTCGTCTGAATCCGAGCCGTCGGCGGCGGCCTCGAGGGCTCCGTTGGACGAATCACCGCTGGTGATCTTGACGTAGACGCAATGGCCGACGGCGAATTCCTCGCCGTCTAATTCGACGCGGTCGGCATAGTGCCGCTTGGAAGGAGCACGACTTCTAGTACGGGGAGCCATGGATCCCCGACTCGACTCGAATTCTGAGACGTTCGCGCGGACGAACAGCGCGGCGGCTTATAAGGAGTACGCGGCGATTACGAACACGCTGAACCAGCAGTGCAACCTGCGTGGCATGCTCAAGTTCAAGCCGGCGCCAGGTGGCGCGATCCCATGGTGGAGCCAGCGAGCGAGATTGTTAAGCGGTTCCGCACGGGAGCCATGAGCTACGAGTCTATCTCCTTGGAGGCTCATCAGAGCCTTGCTATTGCTATGAACACGAATGGAGGAAAGTCGAACACGGGCGAGGGAGGCGAGAACTCGTCCCCGAACCTGAACGGGAGTAACAACATCCTCCAGTCGTCGGTTTGGCATGTCGGATCCACTAACGGCATTTACCCATTTATAAATAGGTTTCAGTACAAAACAGAGAATATAGCAGCTCCTGAAATTTACGAAGTCTGGAGAATGCTCGGAGATGCAGCAACAAACTCTGATGGTCTGATTTTCATACTTAGATTTCATTGTTCATCTGATCGGTAAGACTTGAATTTTATGCCCGTCTGATCACTAAGACAAAGGTTTTTACTTCAGATGAAATTTCAGACCGCACGCTATTCTTCATCTGGGTTTTTAGATAACGAGTACGATTCCGTCTGAAACCGACATCTCTGGTCACTAGGCCATAGCCCCCACCCCACCCATCCCGCACCTCCCCTGCGAAGTCTCTCGCTCGCTCCTCTGCCATACCAGCCCAGCCCCCCCCATTCAACTCAAGTCAAGACCCTCACTGCTCTACCAGCCCAACCCTGTCAAATTATATATGTGATATACACGTGTAGGCCGTAGTGGGGTAGCCAATATGGGGTACAACCCCTCTAGGGTTTGATACTTGTACCCAACTCTCATTTCAATGCACCATTATCGCCTGCTAGTTTTAACATGGTTTCAGAGCGGTAGGTCCGTTAGGACCGGATTTTTTTTCCTGGGCCCACCGAACGCCTGCCTGCCTGTGGTTACCGCGCTGCCCCACACGCGCCCTGCCTTGCCTGCCTGTCGCGCCGCCCCTAAGACCCGCGCCTTCCTTGCCTGCCCGTCGCGTCGCCCTAAGCCCGCGCCCGGCCCCACCCGCTTGCCCGTCGCATTGCCCCAAGCCTGCGCCTGGCCCCCTGCCTGCCCGTCGCGTCGCACTTGTTGGGCTGAGGCAGCCCTAGGATCTTTGCAGGGGGTAAATTCGGGTAGAACAATTGTGATAGCGGAAGCGTTTAATGAAAACTTGTGAACCACCTTGCGCTAGTATGTGAGGGCAAAGTAAGTTAATTAAAGCAAAGAGATACTGGCATTTATATATGAGTACAAGGAATATGAAAGGATACAGTTGTAACTACTTTTACTGTTGCTGTTGCGGTTCGATACAGTGACGACTCGGGCAACTGCTCTGTAGCGAGTCAGTTGTGTGTCCTTGCTGTCGCGCTGTACTTGTCAGGTCAAAGGTCGCTGACCTTTGACTTTCGCGTAACCTCCGGCAACCTCTTTCAACCTCCGAGGGTTGACTCGCGTGTGCCTCGATATGGTTCGCTTCGCTTCTGGTGTGATGTTTCGACACGACAGAGGCGCTTTAGGATTTACTGTTTCCAACACTCCCCTTCGCTTCTGGAGTGTCGCTGCTGATGACGTGGCCTTGTCCAGTCAGCAGCATGCAGTACTCGAACTTCTGCTTTCCGAGCTTCTTGGTCAAATAGTCGGCTGCCATCTCGGACGTGGGACAGTAGGATAGTTCAAGTCTCCCCTTCTCGATCTCGTCTTTCACGAAGAAATATCGCAGGGCGATATGTTTCGTTCTGTTCGCGAAGCCACTTTTGTTGGCGATGCGAATTGCCGATTGGTTGTCGCAGAACAGGGTGAAGTTGGGTAACTCAGCTAATTTCGCTTCTTCCAGCAGCTCGCGAAGATAAAGTCCTTCTTTGGTGGCTGAGCAGAGTGCAATGTATTCTGCTTCAGCTGATGAGAGTGCGATTAACTCCTGCTTGCTCGACTGCCAGGAGATAGGACCGATAGGTTCAAGGCGATAGATGTAGCCGGTGCGCGAGCGTCTGTTGTCTGAGTCACCAGCATGATCTGCGTCGACGTAGCCGATTAACTTAGTCGGTGTAGTTGCGTTCTTGTGATAGGTTAGCCCGATCGTCGGGGTGCTGACGAGGTAGTGAAGAGCGCGGTCGAGCTCTGCTAGGTGCTCTGCTTCGGGTCTTTTGAGGTAGGTGGCGAGTTGGCTTGCGGAGTAGGATAGGTCTGGGCGACAGGTGACGGCTGCGAAGAGAAGACATCCCAGCTTTCTCTGGTAGTCGCGAATGCCGGCAGGCTTGAGTGGAGCGGATTCACCCTTGTTGTTCCCTGTCGTGTAGCGATATGGTGTGGAGATGGCGGTTGGTGCAAGAGCGAAACGCTTGGCGATGGTGTCGGCGTATTTTGCGGCGCTGAGGTAGATCGCGTCGTTATCTTCTCGAATGTTGAGCCCAAGGTACTGTGTGACTGTAGATGAAACCGTGAGCGTGAGATCCCGCTGCAGCTCCCCTTCGAACCAGGTGGTGATGCCGTCGGACGAGCCGATGTAGAGGAGGTCGTCTACATAGACGATTAGCAGGACGTAGTCGTCGTTCTTCGTGAGCCGGTACATCCCCTGATCGTGGGGTAGTTGTTTGAAGCCAATGCGGATGAGACGGGCGTGTAGGTACTGCTGCCATAGCCGCGGGGCTTGCTTAATCCCGTAGAGCGATTTCAGTAGTTGACAGACTTTGTTCGGCTCTCCGTTAGTGCCATGTGGGAGTTCGACGAAGATCTCCGCGTCGACAGGTGCGTAGAGAAACGCGTTGGCGACATCGATCTGTCGTAGCTTCTTCTTCTTCATGGCGGCGATCGCGAGAAGAATTCGAAGTGAGGTGTGTCGGCTGACCGGGGCGAATGTCTCGGTGAAGTCCCGTCCGTGCTCCTGATCGAATCCACGTACAACCCAGCGTGCTTTGAACTTCTCAATTGTGCCGTCTGCTTTCGTTTTGACGCGGAAGACCCATTTTCCGGTGAGGATGGTCTTGTTTCTTGCCACGCTGATGGGAACGACTTTCCAGGTGTTCCGTTCCTCCAGCGCTTTTAATTCTCTGTCCATGGCTTCACGCCATTTTTCCCTGTGCTCCCCCCCCAGAGCCTGTTGAACCGTCGCAGGCTCTTTAGGAATGGCGGGACCGTGGACTGCGGTGACGAGTCCGAGTATCTGAAGTCCACTCTGTGAGTAGCGGGGGAGTGTGGTGTCCTCGGGATAAACAGCTTCGTCTCCTGTTTCGGGTGTGCGATTGAAATTCGGTCCTACTCGTTCTGCTTCGTTGGTGTTGACCCGTGCAGGTGTAACGTAACCGTTGTCGGCGAATTCGTAGAAGACTTCGGCGTTGATGCTTTCGCGAGGATTTTCGTCGTCCATTGGGATGTCCACGGAGCAGTAAGGGAGAGGTCCGGCTGCTTCCGAGGCTCCCTCCACGTTCTGCTCGTCCCAGTCAGCTTCGTCTTCTGCCGAGGCGAAGGCTCGGTGCCCATGAAATCCGCCCGAGAGGTCAGGTCTGTTTTCTTCGATGTACATGAGGTGAGTTCCGAGGGTGAGGTGTTCGTAGAAAATGACATCACGTGCTGCTACTGTTTCCTTGCTGTTGATGTCGAAGATTTTCCACGCGTTGTAATGTTTTGCGATGCCCAGGTGTAGTCCCCACTGTGCGCGTTGAGAGAATCGCCCAGCTCGTGCAGATGGAGGTCGGTACTGTACCATGCAGCCGAAGACTCTCAACATTTTTGTGCTGCCCAATTTCCCTGTCCACAGCAGATGCGGTGATGCGTTGTTTGGGAGCGATGATGACGAAAGCAAGTTGTGCAGCATCACGGCGTGGTCCATTGCTTCGGGCCACTGGTGGTTGGGCAGGTGCATGCCACGTAGCAGCTTGCGCATGGTGGCTTGGAGCGTCCTGTTCATCCTTTCTGCTACGCCTTGCTGTTGGTGAGCGTAGGGAAGGGAGATGAGCCTCTTGATTCCTCTTTCTGCCAAGTACTGCTTGAACCTCTGTGAGGTGTATTCTCCTCCCCCGTCTGACTGGAAACTTTTCAGCTTAGCTCCCGATTCTCGTTCTGCGACTGGAAGCCAGGCGACAAAGGCTTCGAAAGCCATGTCGCGACTTGGAAGGTTTAGGTGCCAGACATATCGAGTTGCGGCGTCGATGAAGGTGATGGTGTAACTGTAGGCGTTTTGTCCGGGTTCACGGTTGTATAAGATGTCGCTGTACACCTTTTCGAGAGGTGTGTACGCAGGTGCGCTTGGATTGTGATGTGAGACGAACGGCTGATGCGGTAAGTCAGCTTCAGGGCAAGTGAAGCACGTTCCACGGGCTCGTTGAAGTTCTCTGCCGTCGGTCAGTAGAAGTGAGTCTTTGTCGAGCACTCCTGCTCTTATCGTGTTGTTTAACACTGTGTTGCTTGGATGTCCCATTCTTGCGTGCCAGGTACCTTCGGTGGCTCGATGTCCGGGTGATCTCCGATACAGATCAGAGTTGGAGTAGAAGCCGGCGGTGACGTTTGTGCTTCGGTGGACTTCGCGTGGTGCTGGATTGAGTTGTTGTGCGGGTGTCGGTGGTGAATCGTCGATGGAGATCGGTGTCGTTGAAGGGCCAGCTATTGGTGTTGATGTTGCCGCTGCTATTGTTGTTGTTTCTGCTGCTCCTGATGTTGTTTCTGCTGCTGCCGATGTTGTTGCTGCTGCTGCCGATGTTGCTTGAATTGTCGCTAACGCTCTTGTTCGTTCTGTTTCAGGGATCGTGTGAGAGTGCCAGAAACCGCCGGGGCTGAAGTCTGGGTCAAGATCTGGAGGATGTGTCCAAGGAGCAAAGCTGACGATGCCGTCGCTGTCAGCGGTGCCAAGGTCTGGTACGAAATCAAGAACGAAGACGTTGTTCTTGAGGATCGCCTTTCCGATGTAGAGGCCGCCCTTTCCG